AGATATTTTACCTTCTCATCGTTGGCATCTTTTCACATCATCGATGATCCTTACTCGCCTTGCGGTAATCCTTCTGTACCAAAGATAATGAAATTCCCCACTCGCGAGGGTGACACTTACTGTAACTGGCACATACAGTCCCTTAAGCTTAACTTTACTCACCCTGCTTGCTTTAGGGAAGCGTCTTTCTGAATGACCTTTAAAGGGTATTCTTCTGTCGTCGATTCTATTATCGCTGGGACGCAATCTCTGAAATTCTCATAATGCCGACTATTACTCAGTCCCCAGTTCATGTTTAGTTTATCTTGTTCATCAGTCCATGCTGATTTCTTATTACTGTGGGGTTTAATTTTTTTCCTTTTAGTAATCACGTTGGAGTCACGAACTTATTTCTCGAAATGAGGATATGACTTTATGGCCTATACTCTTTTGTTGTCTCAAGGCCTGTCACCTCTCATCCTTTCCTTCACTTGACTATTGACTCTATAATACTGTCATCTTTTTGATCTACCGTTGTCCCATGTATCACATCTTACTCATAATGCTTCCTCATCTCTCTTCTTATTTCCCTGCTAATATTTCTACCTATCACTTTCTTTTGAAGACTTCAACAAGACATTCTTTTGCTTTTAGCTCCCCTTGCTTTATTAATTGGCTCTTCGGGTTGCCTAACATTCTCGCTCTACTAGGGACGAGAGCCATACTAAGGTAATATTTATCCCTTCAAGGCTTCCAGTGCCTATCTTTATAGTACTCAGATCTAGCTGTACTATTTTAGAGTGCACCATCTGGGTGTTCCACAAGGGGATCTATTAGCACATTTGCAATAATCTTCGAAAATGTCATCTAACGCAAATAATCCATCCACCATTTTGGATCACTCTAACCCCAGCCGGATCCTGATATCCGTCCTCCTCTTATACTACTTTTGTTAGCCCCCATAGGGCATAAATAATATAGGTGTGGATAATTGTACATACCTCTGTTATTGTTGAAGGTAACTCAAAAGGCTTATATTCCTCTGCCTGATTTGTAAATACTGATAATCTTCATTAACTGGGCGCCTCGTACCCTTCTTCATCTTGCTTCTTTTACTTGTTGAATCATGTACCTTCTGATTCTCTCGTTGCTTTTTTACCATATGGGTGGATAGACATTCTTGCCTTAAGGATCCTTATCAAGAACCTTACACATTGTTTTGTACATACATGATCTGCTGAAGACCTCACATTTACTCATTATAAGCATGATGCAAAATTCGAGTTCCTCTGACTCAACTCTTCCACAGCTATATCTCTTACCAACCGTCTTTTTGGATGTAGGCATCGTCGTATTATGAATAAGATAGAGTTTAGGAAATTGAGTTCTTACAACTGAGCTCTACCACACGATCTAGAGTAAGAAGAAAGAGTGACAGTCCTAAATGCCCTGTAGCCTCATGCTTATAAGTGTGGTGCACAACACACCCATAAACAAGACTCTACTAGACACGACTTGTAGACTCCCTAGGACAGAACTGCTCTGATATCACTTTTGTCACGACCCAAATCGATGGGCTGCGACGGGCACCCGGTACCTTACTCAACTGAGTACCAACGTAATGTATCTTTCGTATCATTCTATCATACGTAAATGAACCAGAGTAAAGTATGAGGGAATACAAACTTATACATATGACATACTGGCCTATAAGACCAAAATTACACTGAACATAGGCCGATAAGGCCGTACAATCTTTCACGTACACGACATATGTCTACAAGCCTCTAAGGATATATAATTGTCATAAAGGTCGGGACAGAGCCCCGCCATACCAATCAATACATGTCCTAATCATACTGACCAATAGCAACTCCGGAGCAAATAGAGCACACCAACATCTTCCGCTGAGCTGATAGCCTACTTGGAGGACTCTCGACCTGTTTATCGGGATCTGCGGGCATGAAATACAGCGTTCCCAAGCAAAATGGATGTCAGTACAAATAATGTACCGAGTATGTAAGGAATGAAAATCAGTAAATAATAGATATGAGAAAAACATGGAGTAAAAGACTTGACATGTATGTCTGAATAACTCTGTAAATCATTAATATTTACAATGTCATGCATATGCGTATAAATATCATACCATGTTTAGGTATATGCGTTCATAACATTATCAAGCCTCTGAGGGCATCCCATCATATCATCTCGGCCACTGCGGGTAAAATCATCAACGTATACCAGCTGATCATGTGGTGGTGCGTATATAATGCTATAACCCTTTCCCATATCCCATATACATATAATATACGCGTATATAACGCCATCTGGTCATGGGTCAATGTACATGTAAAAATGCATAAGAAATACGTTAATAAGACCTGTCTATCGGGACCTGCGGGCATGAAACACAACATCCCCAGGCAAAAGGGACGTCAGTACAAATAATGTACCGAGTATGTAAGGAATGAAAATCAGTAAACAATAGACATGAGAAAAACATGGAGTAAAAGACTCGACATGTACGTCTAAATAACTCTATGAATCATTAATATTTACAATGTCATGCATATGCGTATAAATATCATACCATGTTTAGGTATATGCGTTCGTAACATCATCAAGCCTCTGAGGGCATCCCATCATATCATCTCAGCCACTGTGGGCAAAATCATCAACGTATACCAGCTGATCAGGTGGTGGTGCGTATATAATACCATAACCTTTTCCCATATCCCATATACATATAATATACGCGTATACAATGCCATCTGGTCATGGGTCAATGTACATGTATAAATGCATAAGAAATACGTTAATAAGATTTCTCGAAATATCATAAAATCAATATGCCTTTTGGATAAATTTTATCAAATACGTATTTTTCTGAGACCCATGAACAGAATATAGACACCCATAGTACTTCTATGAATAGAGTCATTTATGAAAATTGTGCGTTTACTCGTTTCGTTTGTATCGTATGGATCATGCCAAAAGAAAGAAGGGATAACCTTAACATACTTGAGCCGATTCTCTTAACAATTCCTCTAACACCCGTCTTTTGTGATAAAACACGTAACGTCAGATCGAATTAGGGAAAAATCCGTATGATACTTTTGAGAAAGATTATACCGTGCTCTTTTAGAATTCGCAATTCACGCTTTATCCCATTGGCATGAAATCAACAAACAATGTCATTTATGTTGTAGCAAAAATTCAACAGTTTTCATGTAACCCCACCTCCAGAATACAACTTTGCAATATCAAATCATGACCAGAGCATCAACAACTGCAATCTTACGACATGTATATAGTGAAACAAGTATTCCTCAATGCATATTTGTCCCATTTTAATTACTTGTAGCATTCACCAAAAACATTCAAGAGGAAACTTAATAATTGAATTTTGAGGAAAATCTCTCATGAATTCCTCCCTGGATTCTTGATCTTAGTTATTAAGAAAATGAAACACCTTACTAGTGTAGGAAAGTTCATAGTGGGCGATGACCCACTTATTTGATGACTAATCCACCTAATCCCCTAAATGTGACACATGTGTAAGAAATTAAGAGTCATTAAATGGAACTAAGGGTGTTGCCACGTTTTGGGGAGGGGCTCCTTAATCTCATCAAAATATCTTAATCAATTGTTAATCATCCACTAAAATCAATGATTACCTAATTATTCACATAATGAGAATTATTCCAAATTACATAAAATACTACTCACTTTTAACATACCTCATACACCTTACTATCATAGTCATGTGGTACCTTGTATGTCAATAGTCCATAAATACCAGGTATTATAGCTCAGACCGTATTTTATCCCAAATTGTCAAACTCCAACGGAACTCATTTTGTTCGATTCGCTTACTCTCTCATTCACGAATTTACTTATCACTTATTTGAAATAACGTAATACTTATAATCTTAAATAATCTCATTTCCGAACTTGCGTCGATTAGTTTACGACTAAACTTTAACATACGAAAATGCGGGATGTAACAACAGCAAAGTTGATTTTATCCACCAAATGAAAAATATTCTCCACCAAATCAAGACACAAAATCCCGTTCAGCAATGTCAAGCATATTCGTCCGAAAAATGATAAGAAGATAGAAGACCCCGATATAATTTTATTAGAAAATAATCAGGGATTACATCAGCATGACAACATATTGACATCATCCATGACATCAACAATCACTTAATCTTAATGACATCATCAATGACATTAGGAAACATTATCTTGTTTTAGTTTTTGGCTATAAATAGCCTCCTTGTCACTTGTAAAAATACACTACACTATCACTCGAGAAAGAATTCTCTCCCTCTGTCTAGAATTGGTTAGAGCTTACTCTCTCTAGCATATTATTACAAGTTTTTGACTTGTAATATCAATTTTTTAATTTGAATAATAATCAAGTTTATATTATATTTATATTTATATTATTCTTGCATTATGGTTGGTTAAGGAACTTAATTTATTTTATTGTATTTTATTTATTTGGTCGGCTCTACCGCCTAGTTTAATTATTGCACTGTAATTGTATTTTCTGCATGTTTAATTATATTATCGTCATTTGCTTCCTGTCCTTACTTCTCTTTTATTTCCGCCCTAATCTTTTAGAGGTTTCGCTTCCGGTCCCCTTGTGTGTGTGTGTATGCCAGTTAATTTCTTAAGAAATATATATTTTAGCCGCTCCAAAAGATAATAGATTTTGTAATATGTGTATTATATACAAAAAGTATACATATTTTATATATTTTTTGGCTAATGAATGTAATTAGTTCAATCGACCGGTCAATTTTGTATTTTGTACTTATTTTTTTGGTAGGCAATTATTTAAGTTAAAAATTTCTTAATCTGATATTTAAGTGAAGATAAGTAGTGTTGAAATTTCAAACCGTCCAAACAAAATAAAGTGAATGTTGGTTTGCTTTTGCAGGACAAAAGGCCCATCAGATGTTAAGTGGGATAGATGGTTTAAAGGAGCCAATGGGTCAAGACGTAACAAACGATGGATCTGAATTCCCTTTTTCACCAAATCACCAAAGAAATTAAGTAAAACATCTGAATTTTCCTTTTTATATACATACAATCAGATATTTTTATTTGTATATTTGCTTTTTACAATGTTGTATTCAGGTGTAATGTTAAAAGGAAAAGGGAGAAAAGAGCCACCCCAAGGTAGGGCCGTTCAAAATCGAACTAAAACTGTAACCGAACTGAACCGATGGCTTATTGACTTATTGGTATCGGATTATCGGGGTAATAAATGGTGAACGGATTCTGAACCGATGGCTTATTGACTTATTGGTATCGGATTATCAGGGTAATGAATGGTGAACGGATTGAGATTTCATAATTAAGTGCTTAATGGTTTGGGGACAGATTACTCAATTTTCTTGTCGGGTAAATCGTTAACCCGTTAATTTTTTTTATATTTACACTTTTACCCCTATGTATATAAAGTACTATTGAAACTATAAATGGCTAAATCCCTAATTTCTATTTTCTAATTCTCAATTATCTGCAAGCACTAAAGGCAGAGAAGTCGTCAGTCTCGTCTCTCTCTTGAACTGAAAACTGAAAAGTCGAAAAATCGAAATCTCAATGATTAATACATGTATGTCTGTATGAGTAGTCTTGATGGTACTAAAAATTTGGTTAATAAGTGTATGACAGTATGAGTAGTTTTGAAGACTTTTCAATTAAAAGATACCGTTTAGTTAGATCTTAGATGGTATTAAAAATTTGATATTGATTTGAAACTGTTTGGTATTGATTGAATGATTGTTCAAAAAATTCCTATTTGGTTTAGCCGATAACCGCTCGATAACCGCCCAATAATTGTTAATCAGATACCAATCCGCCGGTTGTCTTATTGGATGGTAGCGAATTACTACATTTATAATCCGATGACCGTTAGGCCGAACCGTCAAGCGTAATTATCCGTCCGATCCTACCCCAAAGGTCAAGATTATTCAAATTGATCCTTACAAATATTATACCAAAGTGCTAGTTGACCACCCCATAACTTAGAACGGTCGGCCTGTTTGGACGCTAGAACGGGGTAAATCGTGCCCATTCTGTAGTTGGGCACGATTAGGAAAATAAAAAGAAATGAAAAACCGAAACTCTTTTGATGAATAAAAATGAAAACAATATGAGTTGAAGAAGACCAATACTATCTTTCTCCAAACCAAACTCGCAAAAATAGAAACGACAAGAGAAAACACGAGAAATCGAAAGTTAATATCTTTCGTGTATATTATCAATTGTCCTAGTTTAAGTGTCACATTTTATTTTTCGAAGATCAATTAAACTAATCTCTTGATTAACACCATGCTAAATTTATTAAATTTCAAATTTAAAATTAGACACTACAACAGTTCAATATAGTACTGAAGCATTTGGCTTCGACGACGACTTTACGGCTTTTCCATTCACAACGGCTCCATAAAACAATATTTTGCATCATTATTACCTAAAAATAATTACAAATAACTGTTCACAAAATAAACTACATAATAATATAAAAATAAGACAAATTACATACTATTATAGACTAAAATGCTTTTATATATTAGAAATTTCTAAAAGCCATCAAAAGTTAAATTCTCTATACTCATAGTTTCTCTACGAAACTTATTAAGGTTTGAAAAGTGTGAGAAGAAATACATGAGAGACATGCTATCTTTTTCTTTTACAAGTTTGGAAACATTATCGTGCACCAATAAGGGTTATGATGAAGTAGTAAATACTCATTTATCTTTAATCAAAGGTCTTAAATTCGAACCCTAGGTATGAAATCGTCTTTGTTAGGAAATATTTTACCCCTCGAAACTTCCTGGCACAGATTCAAATTTAATTGAACCTCAGTACTAATTCTTGATTATGAATTATATATAATTTTTAATGCACTAATCCCTTTTCACATTGACTTAATTGGACTATGACTAGGTTGAGCATTCTGGTAGTACTGTTGACAATGAAATTTGTGGGTAAAGTAAGATAACTTTGCTACGTTTACAAGATAAGCTATGAGTGTCAAAGACATAACAAAATTAATAAAAGTATTCGTTCAGTATAAGTTTTTACTTCAACACTTACATGTGCTACAGGGATTCCTTAACGCTATTGAAAGCCACAATGCTTTATTGCATTTGAATATAATAGATAATCTTGCCAAAATTCTTTCATTGAAATTACCAAATTCACATTGGATACAATTCTTTTACTAATCAACAAAGTCTTCCCTTCCTTTTATTTTTATTTGATGGGGTGGGGCAGGTGCGGAGCTAGCCTTACCGTTGAGGGTTCGACCGAACTCAGTTGCTTTAGTCCAAATTCCGTATTTGTCTTAAGAAATTCATTAGATATGTACAAATTATTATTTAGAACACAATAGCTTAACAAGAATAGAATTGCGAACCACAAACTTTAAATCCTCTAAAGGGGTAGTGCTTCTTCTCTTTGTACATACTTTGATATATTTATGTAAATAGCTACTTAAAATTGCTACTTATCTTTTTCTGGGAAGGAGTATATCTGCGTTCTACGCATACATCAAAGTAATGAATGTATGACATATACACCGAGTACGAATAAAAATTTTCGCAAACTCTAAGTATCTTTGCCCAACTAGGCTAGCTAAATTGAGTGGCAAAAAAACACTAATTTTGAAGAGATTATAGAGGGTAGTTTTGCTTGAGGATACATTAAAGTTGAATGTTTATTTTAGTATCATAATCATAATTTAAATAGAAGGGCATGGCTCTTAGTATACACAAGAACTGAATTTGACAAAAATGGTGGATTTTAAAGGAGTAAGAAACAACAAAGGCCATGACCAACGGTTGTTGGAGGCCGCCACCACCAAATCAGGCGGCCTCCAGTTACCGCCCTTCCATCACCAACGGTTGTTGGAGGCTGCCACCACCAAATCTGGTGGCCTCCACTTACCGCCCTTCCACTACCAACAGTTGTTGGAGGCCGCCACCACCAAATCTGGCGGCCTCCAATTTCCGCCCTTCCACCACCAACACCAACGGTTATTGGAGACCTCCACCACCAAATCTGGCGGCCTCCAATTACCGCCCTTCCACCACCACCATTACCATTACCACCAACAACTCTTCTCTTGTAAAGTTATCAAGATTTTCATCTTATTATTTACAATTTCTACTTATTGCCTTGTTCTTTATTGTCACTCTAATACATACCCTTTAGAATCCTTTCCAAATTCTTACAACTCCTTTTCTTCATTTTCTCAAGATTTCAGGCAAGGAAATATTCTACCTTCAACAGTGAGTTATCTATTACTCTTTTTCTATTTCATAATGCACTTTGTTTCTAGAAAATAAAAAAAGTTACTTATTACAATAAATTAATTACATTGACAGTGTAAATGTTATTTGCAATGATCCTTTTATTTGTATTATTTGGAATTCTCAAGGAAGAAAGAAACTAGTATGCTATTCGTAGGTAAAACAGTAAAAGACGTCTGTGTTAAACAATTACTATGAACTTATTATTTCCTCTTCATTTTCAATTGAATTTAAGTTATATACATATTGACATTAAATAGAATATTTACGCTATCAATGTAATTTAACCTGTTATAATAAGTATACTTACCATTGTTTGAGGTCTTATTGAATAAAATTGTAATTCCTTTTAAATGACCCTATCGTTTATATTCATTTAACAACTTAAATTCTTTCTAAGTATTACCTAATTAATTTCGTGGACATTTTCAGAGCAAGAAGCAAAGTAAATTAAAACAAGTGTTAAAAGAGGCAGCCATGGCAGACAAAACAGTGATCATAACAACTCTAAATGCAGCATGGACAGCTCCAAATTCCATTTTTGATCTTTTTTTGGAGAGCTTTAGAATTGGAAACAATACAAATTCTCTATTGAATCATGTATTAGTTGTAGCTTTGGATCAAACTGCGTATTCTCGTTGTTTGGAGATTCACTCACATTGCTATGCATTAATCACAAATGGAGTTGATTTCTCTGGGGAAGCACATTTTATGAGTGATGATTATTTGAAGATGATGTGGAGGAGAATCGATTTTCTTCGTATTGTTCTCGAGATGGGATATAACTTCATTTTCACGGTAAGCTTTCTTTTGTCATTTCCTTTTACTAACGGTGGTGTCCGAGCCGAGTATCTATTGGAAACAGTCTCTCTATCTTCATATGATAGGAAAAAGACTGCGTACGCTCTACCCTCTCCATACCTCACTTGTGAAATTACACTGAGTTTGTTATTGTTGTTATTGTTGTTGAACGATGGTGTCCAAGGATAAATACTATCCGCCAGCGATCAGATATTTATACCGAACCAAGAAATTTCACTTTAAAAGTTAAAAATTAAGCAAGAATAGTTATAATTTAACCATAACTAAATGAAGAATATTTGCATGGAAGACTATCTCCCACCATGTCTTTTTATTTCTGCTAGAATTTGAATTCTGATTTTTTATGGTTTCACCCTACTTTATTTACCTCTAAATCACATCCTTAAGTGCAATCTTCTTATGATGTAAACCACCAATCATCTTTATTGAAAAAATAAAAGAAAGCTCTCTCTTTTATAATACATTTTTCATTGGTCTTTTCTCTAAAGTTAAACTGCTTTTATAATTTTTCAAATGATGCCATTTGCAATTGCTATATATGTTTTTCTGAATTATTTCTTAAATTTTCAAAGATCGGTTTATTTATTTTTGTTTTCTGTTCTTATGATACTCAATTTTCGCATTGGGCTGACTAATTTCGGATTCGTGTTAGAAAATTTTATATTGGGGCTAAAGCGTCCCATAACAAAGGCGACTCAGTTAAAACTTGAACCCGAAACTTCTGATAAAGGATGAATGAATAAATACTTTTCATTCTACCACAACCCTTATTATTAAAAAGTAAAACATTCTTGCTCGACCATTAAGATAAAGAAATGGAGACCAGTGGACTAATGAGTAATGAACCAATTAGTAACAAATTTTGAGACCTTAGGTGGTTTTACTTTTTTACTTATTTTCATATCATAGTGTGACTTCTTTCTAGTTACATCTTTATGATTTTACAATTTGTGACCATTTTATTTAATAATTTCTTTTTAATTTTTGTGTTTTTTAGGATGCAGATATATTATGGTTTCGAAGACCATTTGCACATTTTTATTCACATGCCGATTTTCAAATTGCTTGTGATCATTATGTCCACAACTCATTCAATCTGAAGAACGCGCCAAACGGAGGGTTCAAATATGTGAAATCTAATAATCAAACGATCCAATTTTACAAATTTTGGTATGACTCAAGGAAGATTTATCCAGAAAAACACGATCAAGACGTGCTCAACATAATCAAATTTCATCCATTTCTCAAGAAAATTAAACTGAAAATAATGTTTTTGGACACAGCTTATTTTGGAGGATTTTGTGAACCTAGCAAAGATGTTAATTTAGTGTGCACAATGCATGCAAATTGTTGTGTAGGTCTTGGTAACAAAATACATGACCTAAAAATGGCCATTAATGATTGGAAAAATTATATGGCTTTGCCAAGTGGTGAAACGATTTCAAAAAGACATACTTGGACTGTTCCAAGAATATGTGGGCTAAAATTCATAAAGAACCACTTTTCTTCACATGTAATTGAAAAACAGTCACTGGATCGAGTTTCAAATTCTACAAATAAAACTTCATAACAATCTCGTGAAATTTTACTTGTGGAATTTAAAATTTCGTAACAATGATTATATTTTAGTTACAAGACCAAAAGGTGATTAGCCCTCGTTATTATTATGAATATGTGGGTCAAGATAATCATTTTCTTTTAAACATTAGCCGTTTTTTATGTTTTTCTACCTTTTTTTTTCCTTTACTACTCATGAATGAGGTTATAATAATTCAAAATTAATCTTGTGTACACAATGCGTGCAAATTGTTGTATAGGTCTTGGTAATAAAATACATGACCTAAAAATGGCCCTTGATGATTGGAAATATTATATGGCTTTGCCAAGTGATGAAAGGAAGTCAAAAATATATACTTGGACTGTTCCAAGAATATGTGGATAAATTAAGATGATCATTTGAATGAACAACCTTTTTCTTGTAAACATTTCCTTTTTTTTTTTTTTTTTTGGGCCAGTCTCTAAATCCGTTTTTTTCTTTACTATTGAAAGTGTTTATAATAATGCGAAATTAAATACCTCTCTAGACTCTATAGTCTTTGATCTACTTCGAAACGGCATTTATCTTCTCTACATGATTACTCCTCGAGTTTTATATTTTTAAATTTCTTACCGTAGATATTTAATGTTATCTATGATTACCACCAAGGGTTATGGTGGGGCGTATAGAATTTATTTATTTTAATTTAAAGGTTTCGAGTTCGAGTCTTGGATATAATTTTTTTTTTATAGAAAGTATTTTTATCTTTAATCGACCTTACGCGGTGCGATGAAGAAGAAAAGAATTCGGCAAAATACAAAATTGGCCGGTCGGCCAAAACTAATTACATTCGCTAGCTAAAAAGTATACAAAATATATATATAATACACATATATACAAAATAAATATACATTTTATCAGCTATTAATTGTGAGACCGATTAAAAATATACATTTCTCTTGTAAATATGGTCAACAGGAACTTACTACTAAATGAACATATTGATTCTCATGTCAGGGACAAGGTAATCTGAAAATTAAGTTGCAATTGCAGTTGTTTTGTTTCTTTCGGTTATACTACATTATGTTGGTTTCCTTGCATCCTTAGCATAAAAAATCAGGACTCGTTTGATACAAAGGATAATGAATAATTAATTTCAAGATTAAATTTGAGATGAGTTTATTTCATATTTGATTGGGATAAAATCGTGGTATAACTAATTCCGGGATTGGAGTATTTTTTTATTCCTATGGGAGAGTGTGATAACTAATTCCAGAATAATTAATCATGAGATAACTTATTTTCCAACCAAACGAACTTTCAAGGTATAAACAACTCTAGCTTTCTTTAGCTCCGCTAAGTTCAACTGAAATAGAGCTCAATTGATCTCACTTTTTGTGATGCTAAATTGGACAAGAGTGAGTTGCTCTAGTGGTTAGCGCCCTCCACTTCCAACCAACAAGTTGTGAGTTCGAGTCACCCCAAGAGTAAGGTGGGGAGTTCTTGGAGGGAGGGAGCCGAAGGTCTATCGGAAATAGCATCTCTATTCCATGGTAGGGGTAAGGTCTGCGTACACACTACCTTCCCCATACCCCACTAGTGGGATTATACTGGGTTCCGAGTTTGCTTTTTCGGCCGAGCTCGTTGCACGAGGCTTACCTAGTGCAGTTTACTTTTCCAATGTAATTTGCGAGCTGTTGCACTGGAGCAGGGTTTACCCAGACGTACCCAAAGGTAACGGCAGCAGGTTCCCTAGTTTAGAAAGAAAAAAAAGGTGGATTTCTTGTCAAGGAATACCATCATCCAACAATCACTTCAATTTGAATTTTTGCCTATGTTACAACTAATTCCAAATTTCTATGCGATACCCTCTGCGTACTGTCTTAGATTGTATATCACAAACATATAAGAAAGAAAAAGGAAAAGAACCAAAAAAAAAAATCTATGTTAATTTATCCTCACATTCAGGACATAAGTATTAGCCATTCCTTCACTTATACTAGGCTTTCGAAATATATGTGATCTGTCTACAACACTCACTAGTTCTTGCTGGCTAATATACATTTAACACTTGTCAACATATATCTTTTGCCTTTTTAGCAGGTTTTGAGATAATTCTATGTGAGGATGACATTGTCACTTGTGCTCCATGAAGAAGGGAAGATTAGAACGTGAATTGAGAGGCTAAAATGCCGAAGAATTGTATACATCATGTTGTTTTGTAAAATTGAGAGGCTAAACTGACATAAATTTGTAGCTACAAGGTCGGCAGAGTTATCAGATACATGTGATGTCAGATTGATTAGTCGAGGTTCGTCCAAGCTAGCTCGAATACTACTGTTCTAAAAGATGCCAAAGAATTGTATAACTTGAGGCTAAACTGACATAAATTTGTAGCTACAAGGTCCGCGAATGGGAACGTACGAAGAACGAGGAGGCATTCTTTATAGACAAGAGCCCTGAGAAATTTCACAATAACTGAAGAGATAATGGGACATTCTACCTTTATAAGGCTATATAGATTTGGAAGGCATTGAACTTTGACATTTATAATGCTGATAAAATAATATTGAAATTTTTTGTGAGATATGTTATCGTCTGAGACAACCACGTTCTCCAAGTTACTTGTTGAATATTGAAGTTTTGATGAATGATGGAGAAGAATGCAAAGGCTAAGAAAATTCTTATCTGTGGACTTGGTCCTGATAAGTACAATAGAATTTATATGCGCTCTAATGCAAAGCAGATATGGGATGCTCTCCAAACTGCTCATGAAGGAACAAACCAAGTAAAGAGATCAAGGATTGAGCTACTCATGAGAAACTATGAGCTTTTCTTCATGAAGGAGTCTGAGCCCATCCGGGATATGATGACTAGGTTCACTATCATAACCAATGAACTTAAATCACTTGAAAAGGTGTTTACCTCAGAAGAGTTGGTTAGAAAAGTTCTAAGAATCCTTCCAGCTTCATGGGAATCAAAAGTCACTGCAATCAAGGAAGCCAAGGAATTGGACAAAATCTCACTTGATGAGTTGGTTGAAAACTTAAAAACTCATCAAATGAGAAAGATGGAACTGCGCAAGAAAGAACAGAGGATAAGGCCTTGGTTCTTAAAGCGTCAGAGGATGATGAATCTCACTATGATGATCCTGATCTAGCGATGTTTGCCAAGTTCAAGAGGTTCATGAAGAATTCCAAAAGTGCATCTAAGAGAGACACCAGTAATAAGACCAAGCAGATCGCCAAAGCTAACTATGATAGGTGCTACAAGTATGGCAAGCTAGATCACATGGCCAAGGACTGTCTAATGTGGAAAATTAGGCGGAGAAAAGAACGAGTTGAAAAAGAGAAACGGGAGAAGATAAGAGAAAATGGTTCCAACAAAGGAAAAGTCCTAGGCAAAGGATTTACTGAATCAATGAAGCAGGCATTCTTGGTAGCATATGAGGACAGCGGCAGTGATCAAGAGGAATAAAAGGAGGATGGGGCTATAAGTCTCTATGCTGTGATTGACGAACCCCAAGCTGTGAAGACAGAACCCCTAGTATAGCTTGGAATGCACATTGGAAGACCTTCTTTATTTGATGAACACCACTATGATGAATGGAAGCTACATATGGAAATATTTTTTCAGGATACTGACTTTGACCTATGGGTAATTGTCAGTCATGGACCAACACTTCCAACCAAATTGAACAGTGAAGGTAATAGGTACAACAAAAGAGAAGAGGAATACGATGAGAAAGATCGTCAGCTAGTTCAGAAAAATACTAAAGCAAAGGACTTGCTCTACAAGAGCCTGTCTAGAAACACTCTCCTTAGAGTGTCCTCTTGCATCTCTGCTCATGATATATGGATGACCTTGGAAATTGACTTTGGAAATTAAAACATTGAAGTGGCTTTGATGGCGATTGAAGAATCTAAAACAGAGGAAGAAGTGATAGAAATGATGGCCATGAGTGACTCAAAAACTGAAGAAGAAGCAAACTAGGTAAGTATATCTGGCTTGAAAGAGAATATTCAAGCTATGTAAAAAAAAAACAACAACTGATGGCCATAATTATAACCTTAATGAATAAAATGGATAAAATGAGTACTGAAAATGATCAGCTAATAAGCAACATTTCTTGTGTCAAACTTGATATTAAAGAACTCGAGTCTAACAAAGCTAGTTTAGAGAAATAGGCCAAAGACTTTAAGAATCAGGTTCTTGATATTACTTCTGAGAATGAGAAGTCTCTTGATGTATATGGCAAAGGAAAAAGAGTGATCTGCAGTATAAGCTTGAAATGGAATTAAAAATTATTAATGATAGTCTTTGTGATACTGAATGTAGAAATAAAGTCCTGCATGAAAACCTAGAAAAGGCTAATTATGAACTCTTTAGACTAAGCAAATGACATAGATATTCTGATGCTTTGAATTGGCTGAATGAAAAATGTAGCTCTAACAAATCTGGAATTGGCTACAGAAAATCTGTCCCTAAGTTTGACCCAAAGTATGTAGGAATTTTTGATAATTACATGTGCACTCATTGTGGAAGAGTAGGATACTTTAGAGACACTTGTCCTGCCTTAATTCATGCTTAGTTTAGAAAAACCTTTGGTATTGCTAAAAATGTGAAGAAGAAAGAGGAGCCAAAGGTTAATCCCCATGTCCATACTAAGTGGATTAAGGTTAACAAGAAAATGACTTCTAATCCTCTCCCCTTCTGGGCAAGAAGGGATCCGATTCATTCTTTTTCTAACAAAAAGGGACCCAAGCTTGTCTGGATTCCCAAAACTAACACGTGAATTTTGGTGCATGCTAAGGTGAGAGTAAACAATCAGGATTGATATCTAGACAGTGGATGCTCAAGACATATGACTGGAGAAAAGAAAAACTTCCTCTCATTGACAGCCTTCTAAGGAGAGAGTGTGTCATTTGAAAATGGGAAAAAGGGCCAGATAACAGGTATTGGCAAGGTTGGCAAGTCACTCCCTCATGCTATAGAAGATGTGTATTATGTGGTAGGTCTTAAACACAATCTTCTTAGCATCTCTCAAACGTGCGACAAAGGAAATGAGGTAAAATTCAATTTCAAAATTTGCATTGTCACTAAGCTTGATACTAATGAAATTGTGTTAAAG